CAGAAAAATTTGGTCCTTGTGTAAATTACAGTTATAGTCTCTGTATAGAATTTGTTTTTGCAGAAATAGTTCATGTAAGTCACAAAAGGCCCATGTTTAATAAACCTTTTTACAGAAGAGGTCCATATAAGTCACCATTACATAAAACATCGATCCTTGTGTAAATTATAGCTATAGTCCTTGTGTAGAATTTGTTTTTGCAGAAATGGTCCATGTAAGTCATAAAAGGTCCCTGTTTAGTAAAACTTTTTACAGAAAAGGTCCATATAAGTCCCCATTACAGAAAATATTGGTCCTTGTGTAAATTACAGTTATAGTCCCTGTGTAGAATTTTTTTTTTTTTTGCAGAAATGGTCTATGTAAGTCACAAAAGCTCCCTATTCAGTAAACCTTCTTATAGAAAATGTCCATCTAAGTCACCATTATAGAAAACATTGGTCCTTGTGTAAATTACAGTTATAGTCCATGTGTAGAATTCGTTTTTGCAGAAATGGTTCATGTAAGTAAAAAAAAGGTCCATGTTTAGTAAACCTCTTTATAGGAAAGGTTCATATAAGTCACCATTATAGAAAACATTGGTCCTTGTGTAAATTACAGTTATTGTCCCTGTGTAGAATATGGTTTTGAAAAAATGGTCCATGTAAATAACAAAAGGTCCTTGTTCAATAAACCTTTTTACAGAAAAGGTCCATATAAGTCACTATTACATAAAACATCAATTCTTGTGTATATTACAGTTATAGTCGTTGTGTAGAATTTGTTTTTTGCGTAAATGGTCCATGTAAGTCACAAAAGGTCCTTGTTCAGTGAACCTTGTTACAGAAAAGGTCCATATAAGTCACCATTGCATAAAACATTGATCCTTATGTAAATTATAGTTATAGTCCACGTGTAGAATTTGTTTTTGCAAAAATGGTCCATGGAAGTCACAAAAGGGCCCTGTTCAGTAAACTTTTTTTACAAAAAACGGTCCATATAAGTTACCATTATAGAAAAACATCGATCCTTGTTTAAATTACACTTATAGTCTATGTGTAGAATTTGTTTTTGCAAAAATGGTCCATGCAAGTCACAAAAGGTCCCTGTTCAGTAAACCTTTTTATATAAAAGGTCCATATAAGTTACCATTACAGAAAACATCGGTCCTTGTGTAAATTACAGTTATAGTCCCTGTGTAGAATTTGTTTTCTGTAAGTCACAAAAGTTCCATGTTCAGTAACCTTTTTACAGAAAAGGTCCTTATAAGTCATCTTTATAGAAAACATCGGTCCTTGTGTAAATTATAGTTATAGTCCCTGTGTAACATGAGAGAGAAATGACAGACAACATTATGACTCTCTTTCTCTCTCTCTCTCTCTCTCTCTCTCTCCAATAGCTTATATACCGGATTAGAGCAATGGGTCAGAAACTAATGTTAAATGACTCGTGTGTCTACTGAGAATATCAAACACGAGCTTCAATCCCTCAACTCCTACAACTTCACACTTTTGGTCTTTCTACTCTTGCCTTTTGTCAACGGTACACCATTAGGTTCGACTCTTATACAATAGTAGCCCACATTCCTTCTTAGCCCACAAACATAGGGATGGAAATTTCACCCGCCCCGGTGGGGGACCCGGTTGACCCGCCCCAATCGGGGACGGGTAGTCCCTACGAAAACGGGTTCGGATATGGGGCCGGGGATCCCCCTTATGCTAAAACTGGGGATGGGGTCGGGGCTGGGTATAACAATCCCCAACCCGCCCCGCCCCCGCTTTGATAACTTATATATATATATATATATATATATATATATATATATTAATATATATATAATATCTATATATATATATAATAATATATCTATATACATCTATATATATATATATATATATATATATATATATATTAGGGAAAGGATCAAATGAAACACCTAAAAGGTTGAGAACGCGAGAACCCATTGTGAACCAATCATCATATAAGGCATCATAAAAGGAATTTTACAATATCAATAATTATGGATAATTTTATGAGTAATTAATTCGTTCCTAAAATCATGGGATTTAATATGATTAATAGAATTTTTACCCAAATATTAGGAACTTATATAATCTATTTTTAATTAACAAAATCAATAAAATGATTTTAAAACGTTTTTAGCATAATTTAAAAAAGGTTACTTTTTTTTATTTTTTGCCTTAAGTTTTTTTACCAACCACATCAAAAATACTGACGCATTAATCATTTTATCTGAATATTAGTAATCATACATGAATAAATATATATTTGTAGTCATATATGAAGCCGATTAATAATCTTGAATGAATAGATGAATTAATTAATTTATTTCATAAATGAATAAACACAATTAAAGAAACACACCATAAATGAAAACATCTAAATATGAATTGCTTCAATCATTAATGAATATACATTTAATCTTATGAATACATTTAAATACACATTTAATCACTAATGAATACACATTTAGTCATAAATGAATAGAAAACACTATTAAGAGACAAAGAATTTCTAATATGGTATCAGCTTTGGCTTCCTCAGTTAAAGAGATTGATTCGGTGTGGATCTACGATGGGTCACAGAGGCGTGGTATGGTAGTCCGGTGATGATTTTCTCAGACCGTCTTAATCTTTTGTGTCACCCGACTTCCCTTTTCTATAGCATTCTTCTATGTGTATATTTTTGTCTGATCAAGCTATTGTATCTATCAACATAAAAAACCCAATATTTATAAATGAATAAGACATGAGTGAAAAAAATAATATAATATAATAAGCCAGACTATGATATTTACTGTTCATAAATGAATAAGGTGTTAGTTAAAAAACGAGCTTAACGTCTTAAGCCAATTTTACTTATTCATGATGAATAGATCATGAACAAATTCATATGTCTTGTCTTTTGACCCACAAACAAACCTGGTGTTCGTAATCTGGTTTGATAGCAGCAAATGGGTTCGTAATCTGATTGTAGGAAACTAAAAAAAAATTGAACTTTAAGGGGGACAGTGAATCCAAAAATCAAACGCCTAAAACTTCTAGGGTTACCTTCAAATTGGGAACAAGAAAACAACGGGAATAATCTGGCTATCCAACCAAATTACGAACACCATTTGCTGCATCGGCCCATTAGATTGCGTCGCCGACGGACTCCTTGGCATTCACGTCTTTTGATTTCGCAATCGGTCTCTTGTATATATCTTTGTCGCAATCGGTTCTCTGTATTTCATCTCCATTGAAGATCTAGCAGAGAAACATCAAAGAGATTGTTCGGCTTTCATCACATCTTCGATAGTCGCTTTCAGTCGGCGTTGCATACGATGATTAAGGTTGTAGTGCAAAATGATGAGGATGATGAACAGGTTTTAATGGTGCTCAAAGATGGTTGTGGCGTGAGATGATGAGCATGAGGATTCGATTTTATTGATACAACCCTAGGTAGAAGATGGTGCTCAAAGATGGTGGCTGTGCGATGGTCGAAGATGGAGGATGAAGGAAGACGATGAACGCAAACAATGGTGAAGAAGGGGGGTGGGGGTGTGCGGCCAGTTTTTTCAAATATAATTAGATTATGGTTTTTTCTAGTTAAGTAGAGAGAGAGAGGAGAGAGAGAGGAGAGAAGAGAGAGAGAGAGAACTAAGGAATTTCTATTTAATTAAATTATATGGATTTCCTATTGTACCCTTCTTGCCATTTCAAAGTTATATATTTAGCACACCAGTTTTATAAATGTTCATAAATGGTCCAATTAATAATAGTCATAGATCTAATTATTTACAAGGTTGTGATCTGTTCTCGCGTTCTCAACCTTTTAGGTGTTCTCATTTGATCATACTAGATATATATATATATAATATATATATATATATATATATATATATATATATATATATATATATATATATATATATAATATATATGAGGGTAGGGTTCATGTGAGACGGCCTAATTTTGTGAATCGTGAGACGCATTTTTTTTTTTTTTAGTTAATTCAAGTTCCCGAAAATAATATTTAAAAAAAGAATTTTGGATTTTTCCATTTATTTTGCATTTTAAAATTAATTTTTAGAATATGTACAGTGTAATATTCTATTAGAATATTTCACGTATTTTTCAAAAAAATGGGATTTTTTTTTTTTTTTTAGTATTTCAAGTTCCGAAAATAATATTTAAAAAAAGAATTTTTAGATTTTTCCATTTATTTTGCATTTTAAAATTATTTTTTAGAATATATCAGTATAATATTCTATTAGAATATTTCACGTATTTTTCAAAAAAAAACGGGATTTTTTTTATTTTTTTTAGTTAATTCAAGTTCCGAAAATAATATTTAAAAAAAGAATTTTTGGATTTTTCCATTTATTCTGCATTTTAAAATTATTTTTAGATTTGGTCTCACGGTCTTAATAAATTCGAATGGTCTCAAATTAACCTCTATATATATATTATATATATATATATATATATATCTATATATATATATATATATATATAAAAGTAATTTACTGATTCATTCCAAATTAATATTGTAAAATATAGACATATTTCAATTTAATATCAGCTTCAAATCACTCCATGTTCAATCTTAACAGCCTCCAAAAAAAAATTTAGTTAAAAATACTCTATTTCGAAATTGATAAATTAATAATTTATCATTTTTGTATTATATCTCCATTTCTAATGGTGATATCCCTATGAAGTAACTTTTTAGAGGTAAATTAGGTATTTGACGTGATCAGAAGAAATTAATGCGTTACATGCCCTTATCGTGTACGGTGGGGTACACCATTTCCTTCCTGTGATCTCCAATGGATTCTTCTTTGACTTCGGAGGTCTCCCACCCTCTCAATAACTAACCCCTTTCATCATCCTATTTTCCTATTCACAATTCTTCTTCATTAACCACCACCACCACCACCACCACAACCACTGCCGCCTCCGCCGTGTTTAGTTTTCCGATCACTTATGTATATTTAATCAAACAAAACCAGGATTTTCTGGATGGGATATTTGTCTTGTAAAGCGGAATCAGCCATCACAGTTCATACTCCATCCAAGAAATCAGAAAAACCCGGCGATTTTCTTCAAGGAAATGAAGATTTGGAACCACCCATCAACAAGAAGATTCAACACTTTGACTACAGCGATTTGGAAGAAGCCACCAATAATTTCTCCGAACAGAAGCTCCTTGGTCGTGGCAGCCATGGATTAGTCTACAAAGCACTCCTCCGCAACGGCCGTCTCGTCGCCGTCAAAAAACCCTCTCATCACAACCACCGGCATTCCGCCATCTCCACCTTGCCGGACAACGAAGTCGAAAACGAAATCGACATCCTGTCAAAAATCCACAGCCCTCGTCTCGTTAATTTAGTCGGATTCACCAACACCCCACATCAAAATCGGTTGCTAGTTGTCGAATTCATGTGCAATGGAACACTCTACGACACCCTCCATATCAGTCAACAGCCGCCGAATTGGGGGCGGAGAATCCGGTTAGCTTTACAAACTGCGAAAGCAATCGACACCCTTCATTCCTCCGTTCCACCGGTGATCCACCGTGATATTAAGTCGGCCAACATTCTGATTGACGGGAATTTCAACGCCCGATTAGGCGATTTCGGGTTAGCCCTCCGGTGTCATGTGGATGATTACCGCCTTTTATCTACTCCGCCGGCCGGAACCATGGGTTACCTTGATCCGGGTTATGTTACCCCGGATAATCTCAGCACTAAAACTGACGTTTTCAGTTTTGGAATTCTATTATTAGAGATAATTAGCGGCAGAAAAGCCATTGACGTCAGCCATTCGCCACCGTCAATCGTCGATTGGGCTATTCCATTAATTAGAAGAGGTAAGCTTTTGACTGTTTTTGATCCTCGAATTCCGCCGCCTAAAGATCCTTCCGTAAGAAAACAATTGGCCGTGATTGCCGCCAAATGTGTGAGATCTTGTCGGGAGAGAAGACCTTCCATGAACGAAATCGTCGATTCCCTAAGTTTCTTGACTAAATTGGTTCCTCTCCGATCATGGAATGGTTTAAGCAACCCCTGCATGATGGTCGACACTGTAAGACCAGTGGGTCACGTTTCTTCACGGCCAAAGGGCGCCGCCGCCGCCGCCGTATGTGGTGCTGCTGACGACGGGAAGCCATTGAGTAATCCCAGAAGGGTTTATTCCGATTTAGGGTTCCGAAACAATTTGATGGATCTTATGGCTAGAAAGGTTGAGAATGAGAATGATCAAGATTTGACTACAAAACGTAAAGTTCATCGAAGTTCAAGATTTAAAAATGAAGGATCTAGTTTTAGGAGTGTTCTTGGTGGAAATACAATTCAACGTCATCATTCAGTTGGGTAGAATTCAAGAATTCAAGAATCAAGATATCATCTTTTTTGGTTGATTTAGATTTTACATTGTGGGATTAATTTTGAATGTACTTAGTTTGTTTTTCAATCATTTTATTTCTCTTGTCATTGAATTGATAAGAACATCGATAAGAATAGATACCACTCTTGATCTTTTAAAACAAAGGTCGAGAAGGGTATTGTTTCTTTTGTATTTCTTCATTGTGCAAAGATATCAAACATCTTGTTCATCTCCTATTGTGCATTTTATAGTATTTGATTTTGTTTTTGTCATTATGAATTTTTAATGGTTTTGTTCCTTCACATGGAAATCCATGTTCTTGTGTTAATGGATTAGATAGCAAAATCAAAATATTTGTTATTGAAAGATTCATATATGTCCACAAGATAATATTATATGGGATTGGACTTGTACTAAACAATTCCAATGTTAATTTTTATATTAAATACAACGAGGGTTTTAATGTTTTTCTGCCAATTAAGATTCTGTCTTTTTAAATGAATAATAATAATAATAATACTAATAATAATAATAATAATAATAATTTGTCTCGTTTGTTATATCTATGTTATGTCTACTAATGTAACAAGGCCTTATTTCTTATCATGCATATGCGCATGTGCTATGTAACTATCATAGCGACATTGTTTTGAAGCTACAAACATTGAAAGGTTGATACCAATGTTGTGGAGCTCTAATGTTTGTATATGAACATATATTCATTCATATATACATACATACATTTGACAACCCAAAAAATGAATTGAAAAGTTTGAAATTAGGGTATGTATATGAACATATATTCATTCATATATACATACATACATTTGACAACCCAAAAAATGAATTGAAAAGTTTGAAATTAGGGTTTGAACATATATTCATTCATATATACATACATACATTTGAGAACCAAAAAAATGGATTGAAAAGTTTGAAATTAGGATATGAGACGTATCTAATAAGGTATGATTTGATGGATGTGTATGAATATGGGCATGACTATTGAGGCCCCGATGGAAGAGTATGTGTAGAGGTGTAGGTGCACCAACAAATTCAATCTACTTGCAATTGGTACCACACCACATTTTCGTAAGTTGGTAAGACAACACTTGGCTACTTACCAAAGTACTTGATTATGTTTACTAATTCAAAGGGAACAAAAATAATGTATTTTAGATAAAGTTCAAGTTATAATGTATATTTTAAACATGAGAAATGGATTTAACGTTTCTTGAAATATAACACTAGCAATTGTCGGCATGAGTGAACATATACAATTATTGTGTTATAAGGCTAAAATTTATCTTCTGTTTTCTAACAAAAAATATTTGTTTGGATTGAATACCTGATTGATTGTACCTATTGTGGTTGGTCATGTATTGAATGCATTTGTCCGTAAAAAATTTAGAGTTATATTTTATTACTTCAGAACTTTGAAACCATTAAGGATTATGCACAAGAAATAATATACGTTTATCTTTTATATATTAAATACTTTTATTGTTTTTATTAATATTACATTATTATATTCATAATTCTTTGTTAAAAAATTTTTTTGAAAGGGATTTTTTTTTGAAAGAGTTAAAATGTTGTGATATACTTCCATTCAATTATATTATTGTCATTTTAACATATTTTTTTCATAATATTTTAGAAAGCAGACCAACTTTGAAATGGAAACACGGGCTGACTTTAAAATGTTTAATTCTTATGTGACCGTCACTTGACCACTTTGTTAATAGTAAAAAAAATCAAAAGTTTTAATAGATTAATATAATTTAAAATACATGTCTAGTATAAAAAGACTGAGATATGTTGTCATAGCCTTCTTTCATAGGTAGATTTTTCAAAAAGAATTTGACAAATTTAATCATTTTCTAACCCAAATAATAATAATAATAATAATAACTTATTTTTATATCGAGTATAAAAAATCTCGTTTTTATAAAAATAATCTATCTTGTTGAGGAGCCTTTGTGACTCAGATAATATATTCTAATAATTTTTATTGAGTTTGAATTATCATTTATATGGACAAATATATTATTGTGAAGAGAAATTAAATTGCTTCCTACTTTTTATGCCTACAAATAGTTCTACCAATAAAATTATGACAAGTGTCAACATTCCATATTTGTTTAACTAACTCATTAATGCTATATTAGGAATATATTAAATAAAAATAAATTGAATAGTGATTTGTCATAATTTTAATGGTAGGAATAATTATAGTCATAAAAGATAGGAGACAATTTAATTATTTTGAGTTCAAGTTATGAATGTTATTTATGGTAAGTGATGATTATCTGTTTGATGTTAAATATGCTCGTAGAGATAGTGTTTGGGGTTAGAATCATGAGTTCAGTTAATATTATTCTGTATAATATGCTTATAAGGGAGGAGAGAGTCGTTCCCTCCCAACCCACCGAACCCACTGCCACATCAATTTTTCTCTTTATTTTTCTTCGTCTTTCCGAACCCACAACATACGGAATCCTATCTTTTTGAACCCACTCAATTAAAAAAAAATAGAAAACAACTAAGGTACAAGTTTTAAAATAATGGTATAAAAGAAAATAAGAAAGATAAAGTAGAGAGAGATGATGAAGTGGGTTAGTGAAATCAATCAACCCACTCGTTGAAGCGGGAGTGGTACCGCCGATAACTCTATTGCTAATTAAGATTTTACATTTGATTGTTTTGTATTTTTTTTTAATTGAGTGGGTTGAGTGGGTTCAAAAGGATAGGATTTCCGTGTGTTGTGGGTTTGGAAAGATGAAGAAAAATAAAAGAGAAAAAGTGATGTGACAGTGGGTTCAGTGGGTTGGGAGGGAATGACTCCCTCCTCCCTAAGAATGGTCGGGAATAGGAGACAATCAAAATTCTAGTTAGACGTTTGGATCGTAGAGTCTACCTTGAGAAGTATATTTATGAGACTACGATTTGGAGTTTCACTGTGATTGTACAATGTTCGATAGACTTGGTCCTGATGGTTGTTGGAATTGGCGGTGGCCCATTCATGGTATGGAGGAACAATGTCGATTAGATAATCTAATATTGCTGATTAGTGGTTTTCATGTGTCTTGCGATACAGATAAGTGGAGATGAATGCTAGAAGATATTGAGATTTTCACGGTTTGCAAGACGAGGAAGATAATTAACAAAGTTCTTCTTCTGAGATAGATACGACTACGATGTGAAACAACTGTGTTCCTAGAAAAATAATTTTTTTGTTTGGAGAACTCGATTGAATCGACTTCCTACGTGCTGAAATATTAGCCATAAAGGTATTGAAGTGGATTCCATTTTGAGCCCCATTGTTCAATTGTTGGTGAGTGTTTATACCATGGTTTTGTTTCCTGTGAGTTTGATTCTTCCATTTGGTGGAATATATTTAAATGGTTCGATATTCAAGCTCCTACAATGGGTAGTAGCAATGGAGGATATTTTTAGATAGATATATAACCTTCATGGTGGAAATAAGCTTCGTGTGCTTGCAAAATAGGTTGTATATGTCACTATGGGGGATTTGGAGATTTTGAAATGATCTGAAACACTGAAGCGCAATATCACATTTGAAGAAATTAGTGATTTCTCGTTTAATTAGTTTGTCAATAGGAACAATAAGGTTTTACCTAGATGGTTTGTTTGGATTGTTAACCCATTTTTAGTTGTGTTTTTAATTTCTTGCTAGTTTTCTTTTACTAATAAAAAAAAGTCAAAAAAAAAACAAATATATGATGAAAAATCTAACAATAAGAACTTCGCCCCCTACTTAAGGATATTGTGAGTTTTAGCTTAGTAGATTTTTTTTTTTTTTTTTTTTTCAAACTCAACTTTATTACATAACCCCTCTATAAAAATGAAGATGGGTAATGAAAGGCAAGGAATGGGTTTTAGACCTATGACCTATAAGTTACAGGGCACACGTATTAGCCAATAAGTCATCTTGAACTTATTGTTAGATTATTCTTTATATCGTTTTAAATGACATCGAATGTGTTTTTGTGGGTTTAATGGTTATTTTTGGAAAAATAATTTTTGTTTGTTACTTTTTGTAAAGTTTGTTTTTAAGTTGTTAAATTTGTAAAATTCACTTTTTCAAATGCTATTTTTGAAATTAAAAAATGTATTTTATTATATATATATATATATATATATATATATATATATATATATATATTATCTTCATAAATATTTTAATAATAAGCAAGAAAACATTAAACATGATTAAGAAAATCTTGAAAACCTATGAAATAATCTTGCTAACGGTTATATCGGTTATATTAATGACTAGGTTATGTTCGGCACGCCACAACGTATATTTATTATTTGAGTTTTTTAAGATGGTATCTCTGTCATATTAAAAAAGTGGCTTATAAAATAAATTTGTAAACTATAAAAAAAGCTATGAGTTTCATGATTTTATTGTGAATTTTTAAAGTTCTCTTAGATATTTTTTTAAATTATAAAAAAACCTCAATTCTTCACATATCTTTTATATCATTTTAAATATTCAGTTAACTTTATTAAAATATTATTATTATTTAGCAATTACTTTTTCAACTGTTAGCTTTCTGCCAAACATAATATTAATGGTAAAGTTTTGAAGTTTTGATCTTTTTTATTTAGAATTCGATCTATTAAAAAAAAACATGGCAATTAAGTCGAAAAATCCAAGAAAATTAATTTCCTTTTGATTTGGACGACAAGAATAAGACGTAACATAGATTTACACATTAAATTGAATTGCCCTTACATAAAAGGCACGCTATAAATACAAAGAGGGAGGATGGACCCTTTCGACCTTTATATTTCTTGAATATTTTCTAATTTTAGAACGTTTGATATATGCTTTACATACACACATAAACATAAGTGGACTTAAAAACTTTTGATGCTAAAGCTTTCTATTCATCTTATTAACACTTGAAATAAAAAGGTACTTCTTTACTCTTGATATTAATATAGTCGTGAGTAAATTTAAA